CTTGTAATTGTAATATATTCTTGTAACTTTATAATAAATTCTATCTATTACTTGTATTGGACCTGATGATTCATCTACGATTTCATTTGGAATCTATACATATAATTTTATTATGTTGCTTGTTCTATCATTCCTAATATTCATAGAAAAATTGGGATAACAATTAAAGAAAACAGGACCATCATGTAAGTTACTTTCTAATATTGCGATATTGAATCATTAAATTTTTAAGTCTTATATATCTTAATACCATAAGTATTGGACTGTTAACTCCTAATTTTTAATTTGGTTTTGCGGCTACTTGTATTAGTCCTAAATGAATAAAATTATATCTGTCTTTAATATGTTGATCTAAGAGTGATTGCTCTAAATTGTTTATAATTTTATTGTTTTTCGTTCCCGAATAACTATATTCTATTATATGAATTTCATCTTGATTTGTCGACCAAAATTTATGTTGTTTATATACTTCACATTTTTTAACTATGGGTATTGACCAGTTATGTAAATAATTTTCTATTTCAGCTATTTGTAATTCTTTATCTTTATTATCTGTTGAGGAAGAGGACGAAGCCTCATGTTGACTAGTTTTCACTACTATTTGTTTATCTTTGTTTCTTAATTTTAGATCGCTTAGTGTCCTAAGGATGTTTGACATTCTTAACCTTTCTCTAGTTTCCATGCTATGGGACCACCTCTTCTAACTATCTTGTTGACCAACGGTCTCACTACCCCTCCTGGGTTTTACTGCCCGGACCACAAGATCTAAGGGCTGACTAACGTATGAACACCTCTCGGTGTTACACAAAGACTTTTTGAAAGGATTAAGAGGTCCAAAGACCTTAAAACTCTAAGGATTCTTAAATTAAGATCCAAGATAAAGTTATAGTAGTTAAACTAAGCAACAAAATGGCCTAGTTCTCTCAGTTTTTGTTCTAAATGTTTAATGTTACTTTTATACCAGACTATGTTCCAAGCATAATTTGTGGGGTTTTCTCTTACTAATCTTTCTCTCTGGGAGACATGTCTTGCTAGTTTTCTTTTAAGCTTCTCAATGCGTTTGATGAGTTCTATTGCTAGATTTGGGCTAAAACTAGGACTCATGCCTAGAGGTTGTAGTGGTCGTACTACAAATCCTAAACCTGGGAGATCTCCTTCAATTCTTACAAACTTATTAATGTTAAAACACTACTTTTGACACTCTATTCCCCCCTACCCCCACAGGAAAACCAAATATGACCAATTCTTCGGAGCAAATGTCGGGATCGAAATAAAGGTAAAAAGATTAGAAGAACATATTTAAACTTTAAATCATAATTGTGTTTTCGGAGTGCAATAATTTATAAATAATGATAAAGTTTAAAATGATAATAAAAAATAAGAAACTTACAAAACCAAAAGGCATTTGAAAAAGATAGCAAAACACGATTTAATTACATATGAACCCTTAGAATTTTGCCTGGACAAATTCCATTGGTAATTATCTCGTAGATAAATTATTTATTTATTATTTATTTATTTTTTATTACATTTTGAATTATTATTTATATTTATCTAGAGACCCCTCCCCTTTATACTATATTTTTATTATTTATTAAATTATTATTATTATTATTATTATTTATTAAGAGAATTGTCATGGCGGAATTCGAACCCAGTACCTTAAAATTGGAGGCTGATACTCCAACCATTAAGCTACTACAATTTTCGAGATAATAATTTACAAATAAATTATATTTATATGCAAGTAAATATATATCCGTGTAAATATATAGATATAAAATATATAAATACAAATATATTGATATAATGATATATTTATATATTTATATATTTATATATTTATATATTTATATATTTATATATTTATATATTGATAGATTTATATATTGATATATTGATATATTGATATATTGATATATTGATATATTGATATATTTATATATTGATATATTTATATATTTATATATTTATATATTTATATATTTATATATTTATATATTTATATATTTATATATTTATATTTTTATATATTTATATATTTACCGATAAATATATTTATATATTCGTCAGTAATCACTCATTTTCCAACGACTTCATATCCGTCGGTAATTAATGATTTTCTTGTAGTGATCTTCTTGTTTCTTGAATGGGATTTTGGTGCTTATCTTTATGTCAGTTCTTCTTTTTCGGTGCTTATCTTTATGTCAAGTTTTTCTAGAATGATTATTTGCTCGGTATTGGGTGTTTCTAGGTATTCTTCTACTAATGGTTCATATCTTGATTGGGAACTTGGTTCTAGTATGGTTTGAGGAGTGTTATAAAGTCTTTAGGTCCTACTAGGATATTATAATATTGTAATGGAGTAAAATAGTTAGAAGTTTTGACCAAAGAGATTTTTGATGAACTAGATATTATTGACAGTGTTTTTAAAATCTCTGCTAGGGTAGCTTTTCTCCTAGACTCAGACATTTGAGGCCTTAATAGTACTGTCAAATCAGTTTTAGGTGATCCTTGTGAGGATTCACTCTTGTCTTTTGGTGATCCAAGTGGGGGACCATATTGATCTTTACTCAACGGCTTCGTGCTCATGATGAAGCCTGTAAAAACTCTTGTTAAGAAATCTGGCAGAAAATTATATTTTCTTTTAATATGCTCAATTTCAAAATCGAAACATGATAATACTGATTGTTATCTAGTAAAAATATGCTTTGAAATCAAAATTTTGACATCTTTTATTAAAACCCTAGGAGCAACTTTGCAATAAGTTCTCATTAAAAAAAAATTTGTTAAAAACATAATCTTGCAATTTTTGAACACATAATTCTAGGGAAAGAATTTCTTTTTTTACTATGGAATATTTTTGTTGGAAAGGATGTCAGATACCCGCATGATATCTGAATACTTGTTTTTTTAATGAGTTGCGATTTTATGTTTTAATATTCCCCCATATCCTAACTTTGATACATCTATTTTAATTATTAGATCAGCATTAGAGTTAGAGATTCCTAAACAAGGCAGGGTTTTTACTATCTTTTTTATTTCTTTTACCGTTGATGTCATTTGTTCATTCCACTCTAGTGGATATTTCCTTAATCTTTTGTGCAGAGGGGCACATATTATTCTAATGTTAGGGATGAAGTCAACCACATAATTGATACATCCTAAGAATATATGTAGTTGTTGTTTGTCTTTTATTTCATTTAGAAATTTGGATGTAAACTCTAATGATCTTTGTATTAGTGTTATAATATTATAGTAGATTTCATATCCTAAATATCTTATTTTTATCTGAAATATTTTCATCTTTTTTTACCGATACTACCAATCCATTTTCTTTTATAACTTTAATAAAGATATCTAGTCTATGACATATTGAATATACCATTGAATAAAATTTAAACATTACATATTATAGTTTGAATGACATCTACAGAATATACATTGTTGGGTTACTTGGGTATTACAATTATATACTCTTTTTTTTTTTATATAGATGACATCAATAGCAGAACACTCTTTAACACCATATTCCCTCCTGAACCATAAGAAAAAGTACATAACCACACGAAGATTATTTATGACTAAAAAAAATTGACACTTATTAATTATCCTTTGAGAACATGTCACTGCATTGTTTTGAATTTCATCACCAATTACGTACTCTAACAGGAACATGGCTTCAAGAGCAAGAGCACAAATAACCACAGACAACCATCATTTCAAACCTCAACTTGAACTCTCAAGATACATGAATCACCATCACTAGGGCCCTTGAGTTCATATCCCTTTTGCTTAACTTTCTAATGGACCTAGTAAATAGCATTACATATACTATACTAATAACTTGCAGCCATTTCTTCATGATTCCTGAAAAAGAAAAAGATTAAAGGCTTAAATTTACAGCACAATAAAATTACAACAGAAGAAACAGGGAACAGATTATTGACTTTTTAGCAAGTTTATAAAAATGTGCTTCTAGCTACTTTAAAGGAATCTGTTTCAAGAGTGAAATTTGAAAACAGCCTCTAGTTTTGTTTTTTTTTTCTTCAATAGAAGATTTCAAACAAGAAATTCATAACTAAATCAATTTCAGCTTTCCAACCAATAAGATTTTTTGTATGCTCACTTGTTTATGAAAATTTCTACTATATCTGTACTCTATACTGAAAATACTAGACAAGTATTATAGATCTGAATTCAAAACAGGACCACCAAATATTGTTTTATTATCTTTTTATTTAAAATAGGTAGCAAGTGATTTTCATTATTATTTAAAATAAAAGAAAAATATATTAAATTTATTTTGATTTAAGTAGTTATGATTGAAATATTTTGAATATTTGATATTTTGTGTAATATATAAAGTATATATGAATACATGACTAAAAGATAGAGCCCTTCTTCACCCATCATAATTACATATACACAACAACCTTAAAAATTCTCATCGCATCATTAAGTAATGCTCAGGAAAGCAGTAGTGATGTTAAAGTTATTCTCTGATGGTGAAGTCTATGATAGAATAAGATATATATTGCCAACAGAGTAATACTGATAATAGCAAGTGAATTCAAATGTAACAACGATGATACGTGGACACCCCAACAATGAAAAAACTCATTTTACACCTTTCATTTATCTATATCTCCATCTTAACACATTATATTGCATTACCTATCGTTTATCATTTTTCTATAGTTTGTTTCTTTCTCTCTCAATGTGTATTCCAGCATTGCGTGTCCAAATACCATTATTCAACATGTAAATTGTTGAGAACTGCTACAGTTGTTGTTGTCAGGATTGAACCTGGACTGATTTGCATGCTGAACCCCAAAATTTGGCCAATTAAATCTATTTTAAAAGAAACTGTCCCTGTCAACAAGCATGGTATACACATACATATGCATAGTGGAAACAAACAATAATACATTAAAATGCAGGCAATTTTCAGCAGAACATGCAAAAAGTAAAATAAAATTAGTGAGAAGTTAACAAACCTAATCATCATCATCTCCACCATCTTCCTTCTTCTTCTTGAGCTGGGTAGTACCACCTTCTTTGGAGATGGGCAATTTCATTGCTCCAAAGGGAGTGTCAACATCAATATGTCCTTTAATACTGTAGCCTGTCCCCCTTCCTCTGATCATGTCCCAAAGTGCAGAGCCGAAATCCTTTGGCCTGAAGGTAATTGGAACGGTAATGTCTGTAATACCACTTTTCACAAGCTTTGCAGATTTGGAAAGTTCTGTTCCTCCAATGCTAACATCACCAAGCCAGACCTCATAATCAAGTGTATTGAGTCCCAGATCAAAGTCATTCTTGTTGTCCAACTTCAAATGAAGAATAGCAACTGTCTCTTCAAACGAAAACCTCTCAAACTGAATTTTATCAAGATCAACATCAGGCTTGTATGGGATAGGGATTTCTCCAGTTTTCTGTAAAGGTAGAGTGAGCCTTCCAATTACAGGAACATCAACAATGAGATCAACCTTTACCCTGTAAGGAATGATGCTTCCTGGTTTAATATCAGCATAGGTTTTCTTTATATCATCATAAATCAAAGTAAGAGGAATCTTGACTGTCTGCTCTCCATGTGCATGAATTGTACCTGCATCCGGTATCAATCCCGAAACTAGTTTCCTTCCATCACTCTCAATCAAATAGTTTATGTCAATTAGGGGAATTGGCACAGGATTCGGGTTCTTTACGAGAACATCAACAACAAGCTCTGCTTTCTTTAGATTGATTGACGGAATGTGTATCCCTGTAACATCTGCAGTTGGCTTCCCAAACCCAATTGCTTCCTCAATCTTCTCACCAATGTCTGAAATGAAATCCTTCACCGTATGAAGAAATCCACCCTTCTCATCCTCTTCATTTGGCTTTTCATCATGCTTAGCACCCCTTTCCACCACTTCTGGCTTATGAGATGTAGACATAATACTAAACGATCAAGTAAATTAGTTGGGTAGGATCCAACCACAACAAATCAAATTCAAATGCAGTTACAAATTAACTCTGTACATCAATAGTTTACGGAAGTAAAGCTGCAACAAATAGGATTACATCACACCCATTCACTAGCACTAGATATGGATACATATATATTATTCACAAATTCCAATACAAAGTTACAAACATTTGACAACAACGTTTTCTATTGTCAAAGTAACAAACATTTAGGTCATGTTTAGTTTTCTTCACCCTTTTGCAGTTCTGTTTCCTATTTACAATGTATATAGATATATACAAATGCACACAAAAATATGGTAAAAACATTTTTTTGCTAGTGTTTGAAAACATGAATCAAAGTACGAATAAAGTAATATTTTTGTTATTATTTATGACAATACGAATAAAAAATGGATTTTCTTTTATCACCATTTCCAATAATGCACCCAAACCCATATCAGGATTACGCTAAAGTTAAACAACTTTGCTTCTCTTCTTTCCTTTATAACTCAATTTCCCACGGATCATGATGAAGGGCACCCAGAATCAAAATAACAAAACTTAATCACGATCACATTCTAACGCACCAACTAACAAAAATCCAAAACATAAAGTGCAAAATGCTCATGGTATATACTTAGGCAACAGGGATATCCTTACATAGAAAATTACCAGTCAATAGAATGGAAACAAGACGGAATAAGAAAGTACCGTAGATCAGTGATGATTGAATTGAAACTTGGGAAAACGTAGAAGAGAGATAGAGGTGCTTATGCGAGTAACTAAAACAATAATCAGACCAAGATTTTTGAGAGCCATTAGTCGATCAACGGTCAATATTTGCCATGCTATATCTGATGGACAACAGCCGTTGATGGAATTTGTAGTTCTTTTCATTACCCGGGACCGCAGGAAGCGTATTACGTGTATGGACCACAGAGATGCTGTGACTCAAATCGATGATTGAGTTTGTTGAAAACGACGTCGTTATGAGAGAACCCAAAATTGCAATTTGCAATTGGGATTTTCATTCATTATTGTTTTATACGATGTTGAATATATATTTGAAATTTTTTAATTAAATAATAGTTTTAGTTTTCTTATACACGCATGTGGATGTTATATATATATATATATATATATATATAAATGAGTCTCTATACAATAATTTACACGATTATTAGAGATTGAATAACAAGTTTCGTGTTTTTTAAATAATAAAAAACATATTCCAGTGTAGATAATATGCACATTATGAAGAAAATAAAGTAAAATATATATAATATCAATATTACGCTGCATTATATTTTTACTCCTTTATTTTATTTTAATAATAATTTTTGTCATTTCTCTTTTAAATTTATTCATTTTGAAGCAATGATTTTGATTTTAATTATTTTACAAAATTTTAAGTTATCTTCTAACCAATTCAGGACTTGGTAGAATTTTTTTTATCTTGCACAATTTTTAAATTGTTTCACAAAATCTTAAATTAGGAAACTATGTTTCCCATATTTGTTTTACCTCATAAAAGAAAATAACAAAGTAACAATATTTACTCAGAATGATTTTTAGTCATATCTTTTAAAAACCAATTTTCATTAGGGAGGTATGGATCTTAACTTCCAGAGTTGTTAAAAATAATTATATATGTTTTCTAAAAATCAAAGAGTAATGTGTTAATTTTTCTAAATTATTTAATAAGATTAACAAAAAAATTTATGTTAACCCGACCAAATTATCACCTCTCATGAGAATGCGTATTTTGTAGGTAATTTAACAAAAAAAATCAATTTTTGAAGCACATGGTTTTTCAAAGAAGTTTGTGGTGTTGGAGATTTTTTTTTTTTTCATATCCGTGAATCAAAATTTCAAGGGATGATTAAAATTATTTTGGTTGATAAAAAAAATATTACTAGAAATATTTACATCAATTTTTTTTTCTTAAAAGTAATGTTATTTTCAAAGAAAAAAAAATTATTCGTTACCCTGTTTAATGAATTTATGAGAACAAAATGGTAATTTTTCAATAATTTTTATTTTAATTATGTAAATTTATTTTATATTTTTAAAAATAATTTGATATTTTTTAATTTTTAAAAATTAAAACATAAAAACTGATAATATTTTTTATAATATTATTTTTCTAGTTTTATTAATGATATTTATGTTTTATTTATATTTATAATATTAATGATAATTCTTACAATTTTTTTTTGCAACTTTTCATCTTGCTTTATTTTCTGACAAATTTTACAAAATTAAAATTATTAAATAATTTTTTTCTATATTTTTTGAAAGGTCTTTTTTAATTTAACTTTTAAAAAACAAAAGGCTTTAGTCATGAAATATATTAGTCATTGTTGATCCTTTTGACAGGAGTAGATCTATTGCGAGGTAAATTTGGTGTTGGCAATAGAGCAGGTAATGGTTATTGGAGCAGAGGTTGGTTAGGAGCACTTTTTTAGTAAGCTGATTCCCATTAACATTTGATGCTACAGTTGAGTATCTATGAGAATATGTGAGTGGTTTAGACACTACTTGTGGTATATATTTTTCTTAAGGATACAGCTCTAAGCAAATTACCAGGACATTGTGCCACTACATCTCTTCGAATTTCTTTATGCAGTCCACTCAAAAAACAGTTAAGGATGGCTTGATTAGTTAAACCTTCTGATTTATTTGCTAGTGCCATGAATTTTAAGTAGTATTCTGAAACTGTACTTGTCTGAGTTAGCTTAAACAATTCAGCCACATTCAAATGGGGATGGGCCAAATTGAGTCTCCAACGTTTTGAACATGGCTCCTTTCTGAAGCATCTGAAACCATGGAATGACATCCTTCTCAAAGTGTATCGCAGCTATTTCCACCCTCTAGAGATCTGGTGTATTGTGGTAGTTGAAGAATTTTTCGGCCTTAAAAATCCATTCTAACACTGGAGTTTGACCATCAAAGTGAGGAAAACCCAGAGATAAGTCCTTAACTGGCATCATTACCGATAATGGGCCGGAATTCTCCAACGTAGATCCGTTCTTTGAGTTCGAGTCATCAACGTGCTGAGTTTGAAGTTTGATTAGATGATCGATTGCGATCTGCAGTTGGTTCATGCGCTGCTCCGTTTTATCAATCTGTTCTTGATTCTGCTTGTCTCGATCAATTTGCTTTTCCATCCAACTCACCAACGAAGTGACCTGTGTCTGTAATTCTTTAAGACGAGTGTTCTCAGCCATTGGAGACAATGAAAGCACAAATGTAACAGTAGCGATTTGGTATTTATGGAAATTTTGCTCTAGTAATTGGAATTTAAGAAATTCAATACAAGGAACAGTACGAACGTGGAATCATACGACACAAGGGACGTAATCAAAGCTACATAACACAGAAAAGGAATTGATATCAAGACCAGAGGACATCTTTATCTCACACCTGGATGAAAAGAAATATGATCAAAAGAGGTAAGAACTGAGAACAAGAAGAATTTCAGAGAAGAATTACAGAGAATAGAAAGAGAAGATAAGAGGAAGTTCTCATACCACAAGCCACCTCTCAATGTGTTACGAAATCCTTTAAGAGCACGTTCTTCCTCCTTGTGCAAATGCTCTTCCTCGTGCCCTTAAATTCAGGATCTCCTTCCATGTGTCCTGGTTGAATAACTAACTCACGCGCCAATTCTTCTTTTTCTTCCGCACATGTTACACTTTACTCATGAAATATATTAGTCAAAAGCAAACTCTAAATGCAAGTTTACTCCCACGATCATCCCTACAAGTATAGGGTTTCACTACCTTCATCAAATCGAATAGTCCTCTAATTGGAAAAAAGAGATAATGTCCTTTCTGGTTACAACCTCAGAAGTTATTCCTTTATAGGAACAAAACCACTTAGCTTGCAAATACCCAATTCTTCTGGTATATGCATATTTATGATTTTTCATAGAGCTTTTAATAGCACCATACATTATCCTCAAATTTTCTTCAACTTTTCAGCAATATGCTATGAAACTAGTGTTCTTTTCAGGAATATGCTATGAAACTAGTGGTGTTTAGCATAACAGTACTTTTTCTTTAATTTTCTCTAAAACTATACTTTTTATTTAATTAATTGAAAGGTTTAGAATGGGTTCATGGTAAAATCTTGTTTAAAGTGATATCAACAATAATTTTAATATTCTTATAATGAGAGTCAAAACATTTTATCTTAATTTTTTTTAATTAGTAACAAATTCTTATAAATAAAATAATAATCATATAAAAAAAATATGATATTATATTTAATTAAAAATGTAAGAATATATATATATATATATATATATATATATATATATATATATATATATATAATCAGATGTGAATTTTTATTCATTGATATTTTTTTCATTGAACCAAATTATCTCTTAACCATAAATACTACGAGGTGATCCTTCACTCGTATCTTTATTCCCATAACATGACACTTGTCTTAAACATTTATTAAAATGACTTTCAATTCAAAGATTTTCAATCTAGAATGCATTACCTACTTCATATTATACTCACCTAACTTGATCACTTGATAACCCATTCACTTTGATATTATTATTAGGTATTTCACGAATGATACTAAGGATGTTTGTGATGTGATTTGATTTTGTCCTAAAATTGCACTCAAACCAAATATGAAATTTAAATACGGTTCGATTTGGTTTGGTTTTATTTAAAAAAATTCAAACCAAACAAAACTAATATTTTATAACTTGATTTGGGCAATTTTTGTGATTTTTTTATCATGCAATTATGAACCATATTATAATAAAATAATTATTAAATAAATATATTATAAAAATAGATATTTATAGTTTTAATTTATTTTCATATGCTTCCACATTTAATATAAATAATAACAAAAAATATATATCCTAAGTAATAAGAAACTACTGGCTCACTCAAAATAAATATTATTTTATGTTTTAATTTCCATAATATATATTATAATTTCGATTTGGTTGATTTGGGTTGGTTTTTAACTTATAACAATAAAATGGGTTTTTTTATGATATATTTTTTTTATTGGATTAGTAACTACTCGAGACATAAAAAAATACAATAACATTTTTTTACATTGAACCACTTACACTCGATGTAAAATTCATTTATATAAGAAAAGTGATTTGAGCCATAAAAGTGAGGATTGGAAGATAATATTAGAAGGAAACACACTTTTTCGACCGCAGTGATATAATTGTCAAGGCCTACTAACAACAAGCCAAACACTCAAATGTTAGAAAAGCTAGATATCCAACATGCTACAACTCGAGAAGTAATTATACCATTTTCCTTTATAGTACCACCCTCCTCTCTTACTCTTCACGAGATGAGACAAGAGAAAACTAAGTCTCTGAGAAATTTCATAGAAAGGTTCAATGACGTCAGTCTCATTGTACACAACCTACCTCCAAACTTAATCATCCATTCTTTAATTCCAAGACTTAGGCGCGACCCATTCTTATATATGCATTATCCATAATTTATAGAGGAACTCAAAACCTGAGCTTCCAATTTTATACAATTGGAAGAAAATATTGAGATGAGAAAGAAAACAGAGTTATAATAGAAAGAAGACCCTTCTAATAGGTACAACTTAGACAAGCGATTAAAACGAGGGGAGAAAAGGTTCAGTCCTCTAAATGCAAGTATTGAGACCATCTTATAAGAAGCATTCAACTTAGAATTTATCAAATTACAAGAACCATCAACCACACCCCTTGATGCAAACAAAACAAAGCAATATGCATGACATCAAAATTTTTTCCATACCAATGAAATTGCAAGAAACTTAGAGACATCATTGAAGATATTATTCTAGTAGGTACCCTTGACAAGTTTATTCAAAATTACAAAGATAAGGGATATAAGTAGGAAGTCTTTTATGATTATTAAGGTCGAAGTCGTCCACACATTGGAGGTCG